AGTTCCTTTGGCTGAGCCTTCCCAGAGCTGATCTGATCTAAGCATCTGTATTACACTGAATAGGAATGAGATCCCATCTCTGTGTCAGTGCTGGAGGAGACTAGAGGGCCTGGCTCAACAGGACACAGTTGAGGGGTGCCAGGAGGGCAGGAAAGCAGGCTCAGTGGTATTTCAGCACATCAAGTGACAGTCCCAGGAGGAGATCTCTGTGACTGGGCCTGCTACACAGATTTGCAGTCTGGGTGCTTTTTTGAATTCAATTAATTATGTACATGGGCCTTAGGTGGTGGGTAATGAAGGCAATGGAAGACATTGCCTACTCAGATGGACATGAATGGCCCTGTCCATGCTCCATCCCTGGTCAGGCCCCTTCATACCACATTGGCGCAGAGCTAGGGATGGCAGCTGGAAGTCAGGTCTGGCAGTGTGGCCTGTGTTTCCCAGTCAACTAGTACCATGAGGCCAGGAAGACTGGAGGTGCATGGCCACCTGGCTTGAAGGGGGAAAAGGTGGAGAAGAGCTAGAACCATGTTGCCTAGCAACTCAGCACTCTGAGGTGGGAAGCAAGCTCACCTAGGGCAGGGGCCAGATAGCGGCCAAAAAGTGGGAGGGAGCGGCTAGTTGTGTAGGACAAGAGCTAGAGGCTACAATGGGGTGGAAAGACCTCTGGACACAGAAGGGCTGGGACCTTGGGCAGAAGGACTGGGGGGAGGGGGGGGGGAGAAGACTAGGCTTCCCAAACCAGCTGTTCATCCATTGCCCATGACATGATCTAGGAGACAGTTACAGTCACTTCTGTACCAGGCAGCGTTTTCCTCCAAAAGGGTTCAGGGAGTTTCTCAGTGAAGATGGTCTTTCCAGCAGCAGGTCAAGAGTGCAGTTGTTTCCTTCCGAAATTCAAAGACAATTTGGCCACTGTTGTCTCCTCTCCTATCACTAAAAAAGATGTAAACTGACAATTCTGGGAAATGCATAGTTGGAGTCTATTTCAGAAATCAACTTTTTTAAAAAACCCATCTAGGAGGCTGACATGGGAAAGATTTTTCACCTTTCCCTCACCAGTTTTAACCTAGTCCCAGTTAGATGCAACTAAAAGTTGATACTTTTTGATGGCTGTTTGGCTGCCCAAGAGAAGAGGTGTTACTATCTCCACAATTAGCACCATTGGGATAAGTCTTCATACTGGGACCAACATATCTCTTGAAAAGTCCTGTCCTGATTTCAAGGAATGACACTGAGGTTAGTCCCAATATCTCATACCTTCCATTCGAGGCTGGTGTCTTCACCTTTATGATTGAATTCAGACAAAAACCAGAGAACAAAGCAGCTGAGATTGTAGGCAGTTATTCATGCAAAGGAATGAATCTCACAATACCTTAAAGATTCCTACATGAATTGTTTCTCTTCCTCATTTTTGAGCTTACATAAATTGCGTCTCTCATTTGGGCCTGATTCACTTGAAAAGCATGAGGGTCAATAGTCCTTGTTCACGGTGGGTATGTGTCAGTTACAGCCACTGATGTTAAAATTGCAGTCTGTGGCAGGTCATCTTACCCAGTTCCAAGCAAGAAAAGAATGCACGAGTGAAAGACATGGCTTTGCCGTCACTGAGATTTTGGGTAAGTACAGTTAATGCAATGGCTGATCACAGATGACTAACTGTGCTGAATCCCCACTGTCAACAAGGATAGACCTAAGACTCATTTACACTAAAAAATTAGGTCAGCTAAACTACCAAATCCTTCCCCCTGAGCAGTATTGGTAAGCTAACCTATCTCCTTGTATAGACAGCACTAAGTCAAGGGAAGAATTGCTGTTGTTGAAGTAGCTACTGACTCTCAGGGTTGACCACTCCTGCCAATATAGGTAGTATCTGGATTGAAACACTACAGCAGCACTGCATTTTAGGTGTAGACAAGCACCTAGTCTTTCAACTCAGCTGTTCCCTCTTCCTGTACATAACTGAAGTAACTAGTTGTAAGGGATGTAGATGTTTATACCGGTGTTAGCATCAATGTATTGATTCTGTAGCCAGAGACTTTCAGTAGCGGTGCGTTCAAGTTTATACCTTTTTCCAACACTACACTAAAAGTTAAAATAAAGGGAGAAAGTATTAAACCAATCTGATGAGAAGAGGAGATAAGTGTAATCTCCACAGGAATGGGAAACAAAAGGTTAGTGAATTCATCATTTGGTTGTTATGGACACTTCACCGGTTTGTAACAATTCACTTAAAAGGTGACTGAAGAGGAAAAATGTCTTCAGCTTTTAAAGTACTTTGTCTTAAATTTGAGGGTTTTTCTATGCTGTATAAATATAAAAGTAGTGAACCCAAAGACAGATGAAGAAATGTTAGTGAGGAATGATTTCTTCCTGTCTTTGTTGGTATCCAATGGAAGAGGTGGGAATACAACCAGGAATCTTGCTTCTGGTCACCTTCACTTAGCCTCACTTTGCAGCAGGGAAAATGGCAACCTACCTCACAGACTCTGCTCTTTTCTATTTCATTTGCATAAATAAAAAATATTAACCTCTGAAGTGATTTTGTATCCTTATTTAAAAAAAGGAGCGATTGAAGGGGAAGTTAAAAAAATTAAGTGAAAGGTGGCTTACTTACTGACATGTCCAAAGAACCTTACATGTTAGAAAACTCTCAATTACTATGCAGTGATGGATGTATTACAGGGAAAACCTGCTGTCCAGTACTCAGAGGAGAGATACTATCCTCCTTTTCTCTAAGTCTTATTTTTTCAGGTACATAAAGACTCTCTCATGATATGACACAGGAAGAACACTTCAGCTACTCATTACTTTTTTCTCAGCTAACAAAAGCAAGTGTTAAAGTATTGCCGTTAGCCGTCAGAGTACTTTATAAAATGATGTAATTTTAGAATGAACGCTTTAGGGCAGGGACCATATTTTGATGTGTCTGTGCAGCACCCAACACAACAGGACCCCAAGTCACAGTCAGTGTCTGTGGATAATATAAACATTAACAGCAACAGCAGCATTGACATTTTACTGTGCTAAATCCCCAAAAGCGTTTCCAGTCTTTCAACAACAAGCAACAATTGAAGCTGGTAGTAAATTGATTCTCACATTCCGTTGGCTCCAGTTTGTTTTTGTTAGAAATTATTTGTGATAGATATAGTGGAATATATTGATTAGTACTGACAGTCCCAGCTTCCCAGGCATTTAGTGGCATTGCCATTCCAAAATGACCTGCTTTCCACCTCGTCAATTTCCTCCTGCAGAGTCAGTTATAAATATCTGTTCTATTAAGAGATCACTTTTCACCCTCTGGAAAACAAAAAGAGGGCCAGGGAAGTAAAATCAGTTCAATAAAACAGGTTTGCAATGCTTCAGAACAGCTTCTGTTTATTGAAATAGTTAGCTTACACTAGGGAAAGAAAAGGCACAAAATAAGCTGCAAAGACATTTATATGAACTTTATGAGTTAGAGGCAGTTTCAGAGTTTTTACAAATCACTCAAAAGTTATCGTGCTATGGCAGACTCAGACTAATGTCTATGAAATCTTAAATATGAACATCTTAAAAATGCTTATAAGGTTACTCAGAATAACTAACATCCCAGAATGTAATGTGTATCCCACATTAATTTCTGGCTAAATAGTGTTATTATCTAGATTTTACCCCCATTTTGGGAGTGAAGTAGCTGTAAAATGTGTCAAATTTTAATGGAGTCCTTCTTTAAAAATCTCACGTTGCAATAGGTTCTGCACATAAACCAACTTGCTGGCTTTATCTTGCACAGCTCCAGTGAATTATAGCAGCTATAGGTCAAATAATGTGCATCAAATACAAAAACAACCCAGACTGAAGAGGAGAGTCTTAGTTGTTCTGAATATTTTTACATTTGTTACAACAGTTTAGTCATCTGTGGCAAACATATTTAAAAAGAAGATGGACCCAGCACTTAGTCACACTTTATAACTGAATGCCTCCACTACAAAGACATACTTCAGGGAAATTAATATTTTTAGGCTTGAATAAATGGTGACTTCTCAGACAATGTTCTTAAACTTCCCACAGGCTTTGACCGTACAGCTGTGAACTAAAAATGGCACTGAGAGGATGATTACAAAAGGACAACTTCCAAATTCAATAAGTCCACACATTTGTGCTGAAAGGCCTTGTACACACAGTACTCAAGACGTTCACATCAAAGATTTAAAAGTATATACACGCACACTGTATGATATAAACATCTAAAACTTTCTGCTGGGGTGCACTGCTTCAAGCAACCCCCCAACATCGCCAGACATCTTTTTGCTTAGCCTCCACTTGACAAGCACTTCTGAATGTAGGCTAGAATTCCATCTTGATGTAAGCAGATACAATGCTACTAAAGTCAAGGGGAGTTACATTGGGACTGAACTTGGTTTCATAAGGTTGAAAAAAGTTCATCTAGTTAGCTGCTCCTCTGTCTGAATAATGTCCAAATTCTGCCTTAAGTTGTCATGTAAATGTAACTGAGCAGAATTTCATCACCTGTTCAGGAATTTTATTTGCTTGTCCTATGTGAATAATTAACTTCTTACAAAAGGGGAGACAAGCTAGTACCAGAGTATAATCTTCTCCCCAACAGAGGATTTTTTCTTAAGGCTGGGGCTGGTTTTCAGAAGAGCAGAACATCAATGACAGCCATAGGTACTCAGCCTGTCTAAAACTAATTAACTTACATTCATTATTCAAAATTCACTGTAAAACACATTAAAGATGTAAGTCATTCCCCCTTCCAGGTTAATCAGCGGATCACCAGCAGCATACAAACAAGACAATGAAAAATATTTTTCCTATATCAGAGGGGTAGCCGTGTTAGTCTGAATCTGCAGAAGCGATGAGGAGTCCTGTGGCACCTTATAGACTAACTGAAGTGTAGGAGCATAAGCTTTCGTGGGCAAAGACCCACTTCGTCAGATGCATCATGCACTTCGTCATGCGTCATGCATCTGACGAAGTGGGTCTTTGCCCACGAAAGCTTATGCTCCTACACTTCAGTTAGTCTATAAGGTGCCACAGGACTCCTCATTTTTCCTATAGTCTCCTAAATCTCTTTAATATAATATTCAGTACTGATTAAAGGTTAATGCAAAGAGGTAGCTTAAAACCCCCCATTATTATTAACCCAGGAAGAAAAAGCTGCTATCACTAAGTACATAGTACAATACAAATATTCCTTATAAAGCAAAACAAAAAAAACCCACCACACACACACACACCTGCACAATGACTGCATCTCATTCAAGCTTCAACAATAACACACAACACAAATAAAAAGGTTTTGACTTCACCTTTCCTTGGAATTAAAGATCGTCTAGTTAGAGCCTTACCTGAAATTCTAAGTGACAAAAATAGGTTCTTTATTATTAGCATTGCCCTAAGCACTCTATTCTTCAATATACTGTAAATAGTATGTGTGTTGACAATATTAAATGTTTCCATAAAGTTCTGCCCATTTCAGATTATATACAGATGTGGGCTCCCAACTAAATCCTTAGCAGTCTTTGAATCTGTCTTGATCATTTAAAACCATCTGAGGCCACAACCAGTGTTTCCTCTAAGCAGTGCATGGAGCCCTGAGCCTCTGACTGGGCGGGGCGGATTAATCACCTGTGAAGCTGTGCTGCCCAGTATCTTAAGAGGGAACACTAGCCACAATGTGAGCAATACTTCATTAATTTAGGAGGCTTATTGGCTTCTGCATTTTTGAAATACAGCTGTTTAGTTAACATTTCTGTAAATAAAACTCATTACTATTACTGTCATACTTTGGCTCCTGATTGAGTAAGATGAGCAATGTAACAAAATTGGATGGGAAGCAGTAATATTTTGTTTTAGAGGCCCATGCATCTTTGGTGATTGACGGGCAGATATACAAGAGAGAGCGATTGGCCCAGACAGCCATGTATATGTATAAAGGTATGGATTATATCTTTGTCCCATTCCAATTACCTGCCTGGTAGTACAAAATCACTTTATTATCTTTTGGAGACAGGAAGCAACTCCTGTTGTACATTCCCTTGATTGTCTGCATTTTTCCTGGCACACATGCTACCAGCTAGAATTTGAGTTTTTTTAAAACTGAGTTCCAAAAGGAAACAAAACTCTAATCTAGACATTTTAATATTTAGCACTGCCATCAATCTAATATGCCAATTTAACCATGTGGCCTTCAATCAACATTTCTTAGAGTCTAATGAGTGAACTTACAAATTCTAGCAATTGGTCTTATCAGGATAAACAAGATATTGGACAATGAGCTTTGATATTTATAATACAAAATAAGGCCCTGCAAACTTATGTATGATGTGAGATAGGCAATGCTTTCAAATTAGGCAAATTCTATACTTTGTTTTGAATATTAATCTCTTTGGCTAATCATTGTCCCTGCAAGCAGTGAGAAGGATTTCAGAAACATTGGTCATTAAAGTGCAAAGAGCACTAAGGCATGAGCAAACAAAGGTAGTTCTCCCTTTTCTTGTCCTAAAGACCCATGGAGTGTCTGTTTGTAAATACTAGTTTTATCTGGTCACCTGCAAGAATTCCAAAAGAACATATAGAACAAGTTCTATACATTGCCAGATTTCTAGGCTGAAATGAAACAACTGCTTTAGACTAATTCCATAGAATTACTTATACAGAGCACCAGTCCAATCTGACTGAGGACACTTAAGAGTGTTAGCACTAGGGACACGTCAAATGAATTAAAGAAAAAAAATCTATTCCCTATTCATATTTTCTTAATGCTTTTCACTAGGTTTGCAAACAAAGCCATTTTAGAATGATGCAAGAAGCTATCCGTAGGAGAGAGAAGATTAAATAAATGTAAGAAGTCATCCTATCACATGAATCATTTGAAGGTTACAGTAGATTGGACAAGGAGAGAGAGTGTGGGATTTGAGAGGGAGCTTGGGTGAAGGAGGGGGTTCGCAGTGCACAAAGCTTCCACCTCCCTCCTGGACACAGAAAGGCAGATGGAGCAGTCAGCTGCTCCAAGCCCTGGGGCTGCTCCCTGCCTGTGGGTCCAGTGGTGTGGCCATGGGCCAAAATGAAAGGCTTGGAGAGCCGTATCTGGCCCCGAGGCCGTATCTTGCCTACCCCTTCTCTAGAAGCTAGAGAGCGCCTCCTGCCACACCCCAACAACAGAGATGGAAAATAATAAGTAGATGGGTCTCACTGGAATTAGTACCGGCCTGATCTCTGCTACTTTTACAAAAGGAGAAAATACAGGTAACAGACCAACAGCTTCCAACTTGAATTTATTCTCATGTCTAGACAGGAAGAACCCTCAATAGTGCAGAGTACATATGTAATGTTAACCTAGCAACATGGGACTAAGATAATCATGGGAAGAGAGTTTCTCAAACTTCAATCAAGTATTGCAAAGATTAGACCTGTCAAACCAAGAGTGCTATTTTAGTGTCATTAACAGTAATTTTTTTAAAAAAGAACTGGCACATACTCCATGACAACTTCCCTGGGAAGATGTACAATATGTGCTAACCATACGGGGAAGAATCAGAATCAGGCAGGAACTGAGCCGTTATGTTATACTCGGAGGTGGGGTAGTTACACAAATTTTGTGACTTGGGCCTCTAACTAAAAAACAGGCACTTAGATGCAGTGTTCAGAACAGCAGGTATTGTCAATCTGAAGAGTTCTGCTTAGCAATATTGGTTTGATTAGATACAGTGTATGCTGTCCATACCTGCCATGGAAGTTTGTGCATCGTGTGTCCACAACAAAAGCCAACTAGGGCAAAATATCTGATGTCCCAATGGCTTAAGACTTCCTTGTACATAACGGGAATCTCTTACTGTTCTGTAGCTGGTAGTCAGTTTGTACCACCCTCAACAGCACAAACCCAAACATCAGAGGATCCAGACTGGAGCATTTGGAGGGGAAGAGTATTTAGTCATTTATCAGAATCCTGTAAAATAACCCAAACCAATGAACATTGAGCTCCTGCCTAGGAAGATACTACTGTAGCAATTCATTGCCCCACAAATAAACAAACAGTAAATCAACAGCCTCTATGGGAGATGGATTAGGAAGTCCTTAACTTCTAAAGAATGTGCAGAAATGGGACAGATTCAGAATAAGGATCTAAAAAATATATAGTTAATTTATTTTGCATAAAAATTCATTCATCCTTGGTTTTGCAATTATATGTACAAAAAAGTGTGCATGAAATGTAATACATTTGACTGTAAGCTAGGGACAGACACAAATTTGGACCAAGAACCTACAAGGAAATCCACCCTCCTGAACTATAGCAACCACATCAAGTAACAATGGAAAGCTACATGGAATAGATCCCCCGTTAGCAATCTAGAATAAAGACAAAAACCAAACAGCCAATGAGGCCAAGAGCACTGTTCAGTCTCACTATATCCATTGCCGAAAGCCAGAGAAAGGCAAGGATTTCATTGTGCACATTGATCCCTTAAGAAATACAGGGTTTGTGACCACATCAGTGCAGTTCCTAGGAACTGCAGCATTAACTTCAGCATAAGATATTGCACATTTAGAACCTTTGAGGGGAAAAAGGACACCAAGGACCTAATAGGGAAAAAACAAAAAACAAAACAAAACCTTTTGCCTCGTGTTTCATATAATCCTCATAATTTAAAATACAAAAGGAAAAAACATAAAACACAAAGTTAATTATAGCTCCAAGAACTTCCACTCAGTCATTTTCCTATGTATGAATAAGGCAGAAGATCCAGATTATTATTATTTTTAATTCTATCAATTTTGCTGTCACATTCACAAGAGCTGTGCTAGAGACAGGAGAGATGGTATGGGCTTGCTGGTCAAATACATTTCACTGATGTCTATGATGCAGCCAGCTGCCATCTTCCTGTTCCATACTAAAGTACTGCCTGCAGAAACTATTGATCCCCAACTACAACTCACCGCTATGCTAACAGCACTGCACCAATCTGTTTGGATCAAGATGGAGTATTTAATACTCGGACATGTACTCTTTGTAGGCTTCCTCTTTCCACTAAAGATGAGAATGGCAGCACTATATTCCCCATAAACAACAGGGATACAACCCTTGGGCTCTTAGAAAGCAGTCTATGCTGCTCTTGACTGGACAAAGTTCAGATATTCCTGTAAGTTTCAGATCTGACTTTTTACTGCTTCCTTCCAGAATAATTGAGGTTTTTGCTGACTTCGGAATATATTCAGTAGACTCTCTTCTCTCCAATCATTTGATCCATGTATCATATTCTAATAGAATAACTAGCTACCTTTACACTTAATATGAAGTGTGAATCCACAAACTGCAAAAAATTAATTATATAGAAGTCAACAGTAAGAACTAGGAGGATAAAGATGATACTAACTACTCAAAGGCCACATCTATTAGTTGGCAAAAGCTTCAAATATTCAAAATCTTTTTATTATAGTACTTTAAAAATGTTTAGTGTAAACAAAAACAAAAAGTGCTCCCTCTACAAGGTCAAGTAACCAGCTGAATATTGGCCCAAGAAATTAACTAAGAATGCGTGTGTACGTACGTACACACACACACACACACACACACAAAGAAATTTAAAATAAATACTAAAGACACTCAAGTCGTCAGCAGCAGCCTGCAGAGGCAACTTCAGCACTATATACCACTGCAGATATCATTTTTCTCCATAGCCACAATCAGATACAAAATGTAATGCAAAATGTCGCTAAGTAAAATTATCTCCCAAAAGACATTCGCTATGTGCCGTAGAAAAACTGGTCCCTAAGTTTACATGGCAAAGTGGAGAAAAAGATGAGAGAAAAAAATCAAACCGAATATGCAACAAATTCAGAGCTGCCCTGAGATTTCTGGACTGTCATGATAAACATGTGAGAGAAAGAATCAAAGGCAAAGGAAAAAGCAAATTATTTTGGGAGTGGCAGAGGTGGGATGGGGAGACAGATATGGGGGGGGGAGAGAAAAGATCAGTAATAATGGGGATTTCTGTTTTAATTAAGTCCATCTGCCCTCTCCTATTAATTGGTCTCTCCAACCTCTGATGATCTCTCTAGCCATTTACCTACAACATCACTGAGAACAGTTGTCATTTGTTGGTGTTCCCTAACCACTTGAGGCATGAAATTCTATTCCAGCGAGCATATGGAGAACAGGCAGAGATTCCACGGTTCATTCTTTTCAGTGTGCTGTAGGTAACTGAACAGAGGATTTCAGGAATTTGTTTCCATCATGTTCAGTTTAACTCTTTAGATTTTATCCATCTGAAAAAAGCCTGGTGAAACCTTCCAAGTTTATGGATTTCAGTTGCTTCAAAATCAATACAAGCCCACTTTGAAGGAAAAAGGCAAACACATGCAGTGGAAGTCTGTCCATCAGTTGGATCAGTTCTCAAGTCTAAGTTTCTGAAATGTCAGATCCCTCCCTCTCATCATTATCTTTGGCCTCAAACCAAGCCTGCAATCAAAATTTTGAGCCACAAGTGTTTGAATGGCTCTCATGGGTGAGAAAAAAAAAATCAGCAGTGGTCACCACTTAAGCCACCGTAATGCATCTGAACAGTACTCTAATTCTCCTCCCAAAGCTGGAAAGGAAGAGGCACTTGCCCTGTTATAATATACCCGCAGACGGTTCCAGTTTTATTTTTGCGGATGGTCCTGGCTGGACAAGTTTTTAAAAAGGCATAAAAAGGAAAGCATCCTCTTTTTACTTGATCATTTGGGTCTCTTCATCAGCATCATAGAATTCTTCATCTTCACTTTCAGTCCCTGCAGAACTATCTTTGCCTGCAGACTAGGGGAAAAATGAAATTGTTAACACATTCAACAGTGAACACTGAAAAAAAATACTTTTACGGCATCTTTCAGAGCATTTCAAAGTGCTTTTCAAATAGAAGGCATTACAACCAAGGTAGGAAAGGATTTTCTCCATTTTTCCTAGGGGAAACTGAAGTATGGAGAAGTTAAAATGACCTATTCAAGGCCTGTTCCACTTGATCTGAGGATGTTATATTCATATTCCTTCTAATCCTTTTAGAAAATAGTGGGCTTTTAGCAAACATGAACTCCTGTGCTTCCTTTAGCAGACCAAGGAGGTTGGATGCAGGACAAATGAACGGATGAGGATGGCTTGATTTGACATTCTATAAAGCTTTCTGAGTTAAGAAAGCAGTAGTAGTGTTCCTGTCCCTCTGATCTACTATAAGTAGAGACTAAGGAAGCAGAGTTTGAGGGCAAAAGCCTTTCCATCCTTATTTATACTGAGTGTGTCGTGGTCATCTTCCTACACAAGCTTCTCTTTTTAAAAAAATGGACATTTGCCAGGATTGCCACCCAGGGAGATAAACAAATAAAGCCTACCTGACCAACAATATAAAAAGCTGAAACACATGGGCCCAGCAAGTTTTTAATAGAACAAGCTACTAACTACTAGAAAAAACAAAACAGCAAAACACCGACTACCTGACAAAAAGGGTAGAAGATTCTGCAGGTGCTGAAACTATTGAAAAAGGAGGAACTGTGGAACAAAAGGCTATTTTATACCCTTACATTTAACAATACAAGGGTGAAAAATGTACATACCTGCAAGCTATTTTCATTTTTTGAAAAGTTTGTGCCTTGTGATACAAGTCAGGTGACTATATGGGGTAGAGAAGGGAACTGCAGAGACAATTTGCTAAATGAGAACTGAAGCTTGAACTCCATACTCCCTGTGCTGTACTTGGGCAACAAGATTATTCAAGCAAAGGAGTTTACCCTACTTTCACTAATTACATGTATGAGAGGAATTGTTCCTTCTCCTCCGAAATAAAAGCTTCCAGTGTTGCAAAGGTGAAAATAAACACATTTTAAATTTTGTTTGGATGAACATTCTTTCAGACAGAGCATTTCCAGCAATAAGCAATCCCTATAATCTTTATAAGCCCTACAACACTTATAGGTTTTGCACTAGTGTTAAAAAAAGCTAAGATTCCTCCCCAAATTTAGACTCTCCACTCTCATTTACTCCTCCCTCTCTAGGAGGGAGAAAAAAATAGATGTAATAACTCTCACACTGCAAGGTAAGCAAAACCTAATGAATGAATAAAGGGAAGCGAACTCAGTGGTCAAGTAAACCTCACTGAAAATACCTTGCCTCCAAGTCTTCTCATTATTAAGCCTGGAAGCTGCTATATCATGCATCTCAACTAATCTCAGCTACTACAGTGGGGTGTGAGGCAGATCTCAAAGTTAAACAAATTCTAACCAATTTAAGGTGTTATATGTTAGAACCAACACCTCAAACTTCACCCAAAACCAAAGTGGAAGCCTACACAGATGGTAGAAGACAGGCACAACCCTTCCACACAAACCGGCTGCTGCACCATGTGCCAGATAAGGATTCGAAAGGTCTTATGGATCAACTTTACATGACCTATAGAGGTGACAGAGGCAGAGATCACTTGTGTTAGGGTCTTTTACCCTAAAGGCAAAGGTTGTAACTTTTTTTATTAAACACAACTTGAGGGGATTAACTGGATCTGAGTTAGGATCTGAGCCTGTATTTGCAGAGAGTATTTCAAATATAATGGCAAGATCACTAAATTATCCCCTATGTCCTCTTGGGGCCAGTCATGCCCAGACTAAGAACCCATCTAGATAGGAACTCCTAAAGTCGACAGCCATAATTCATGCACTACAATGGTGGAGAAGTATCAAGAAAGTGATGTACCCGTGAGCCACCTAGTGCTTGCAATGACATGGCTTCATTCCCCAGTCTCCAGTATGAGCACACCTGCAGGTCTGATATGGTCTCCAGCAAAGGGCTGTTCAGTGTTTCTGGCAATAACAAACTCAAGAGTCCCGACAACAGGCCAGTCACTCCAAACACGATGTATGGCAGAGACCACTGCACAGATTTCTGGAAATTAAGAGGAGAGAGGGGTAAGGAGGCAATATAACATTTTACATATTAAAATACTTAATAGTTAGCCACCTTGTTAGGTAGGCATGATATGTAAAGATTGGAACAGAAGATTTCAGAAATGTTTGGAAACAATCTTAACTCCGCTGGATCCACATATGTTTTGGAATGAATTTTAAACAAGTCCCTGCTAAATTCATGCATTCAAGTTTTTGGCTATGAAATTTTCACACAAACACTGATTATGCACACAAATTGGATAGATGTCAAATGCAAAACAAAGTTTGGAAGAGCAAAAGTAAGAGTTACATAATATATGTAGTTCCTCTCACCTTGATATCTAAGTCTGTTCAGGGCCTACTGCAAGATTTAGGCTAAGGGATTTTAAGTATCTTAAGTCTCTACACCAATATCCATATTTAGTGATAGGACACTTAGCTACAAATTTTAATGTGCATATATCCAGTGAGAGTGAAGCCTATTGAGACTGCCTTTCTCTTCCATTAAAATATTAAGGTAAACAGCAAACTACACATTGTTGAGGCAATTTATGTGAAGGGATTCATCTCTAGCATTAGCCAAGTTAGTTAATAGCATTAGTTAGAGGGGGGATAACTACTACTAAAGAAAGTACAACAGTCTCACCTGATATGGTAAATCCTTCACAACAGCTTGGATTTTAACTTTTTATACAAAGGTTTTTATGCTGTTGAAGTGGATAGGCCAATTCACAAAATTCTTACATAGATAAAACAGACAAACAAATAGTGGGAGTTTTGCCAACATAAGGGCTACATCCTGCTTTCCTTCAATATGGAGGATATGTTATCATGCTTCTCCATACATGGTGATTATATTTTACAGATCCTGAATCATACAGTTGATCCTATTTCTCCCACCGACAGGAATAAAAACATAAGTGCAGACAAACCAGTGAAGGGATGAAGGGAGCAATGATCCCACCAACCCGGGAAAACATGGAGCAGGAACCCATTCCAACATTCCTAAAGAAAAATACAGATATTAATCAAAGGTATTTGCATGAGAGAAATTAATGAATTTTAAAAAGATGTCATCATTAAGAAATGTTTTTGTCACGGTACTAAGCCTATGACTAAGTTCATTGGGAAGGGAGATATTGGAATGCAGCTCAAAGCATTCTAACAGTGGAACTATACACAGCACTGAAGAACAGAGACCCTGCTCACAACAGAACTTCAGACATTAGTGCAGCTGCCACAGTAAGACAAAACCACCATAAATTGTAATTGTGGACTAATACACATTATCCCCAATTTAAAAAAAGGTTAAACTGCACTAATCTAAATCACATGATGTAGCAGATTTGTGTGTCTACACTGGGAGTGAGCTGTTATCTACACTTGCTAGCTGGCCACCACCCAGTACAAACTGCATCTATATGCTACATTCATCTGTTCACTCTTTTACAATGTGTACATTGCTCTACATTGTAGAGCTGCTCAAGTATGTTTGTGAATGATCAAATTGCCCCAAACAACAATCTACTGAAGATGTAAGCCCCAACATCACTGGTTACATTAGGATGAATACTTAATGGAATTGTCCTACGTTTACACAGCAGCTAGAGAATTTTGGGTACTACTGCTGTATAGTCTCATGACTATTCAGACCAGTTTTTCTTTAACTAAGGGAAAGTTTCAAGGAGAAGATGCAGTTAACAGGACAAAATAAAGTGAAAGTAATAAGGAACTAGGGAGATGGGCAAGAGAAACTACCACCACAAAATGAATTCAAATTACCTGATCACTGTAGGATAAAGCTCTGATGTGTAGATATAAACAATGTTAAATGCTGCACTGATTGTCAGTTTCCCCAGTAAAGACAAAGAACGACTGTTCACAACAGCAAACACTCCTGTGGCTGAGAAAGAAAATTTGATCCTTGTAAGAATCCGTAGCATACGGAAATGTCCTTCAGTAATCATTTCAGTTACAAATGGAATGAAAGGGAATCTGCTGAAGGGTTTGTTATGCTCACAATAACTGTTAGAACAGTGGTCACCAACCAGTAGATTGGGATCTACTGGTAGATTTTTGGAGCCTTTGACAAGTGATCCTGACAGGTTGGGCCAGGAGGCTGTCAAGTGTCAGCACTTCATCTGCCCCTCTAAACACTGCCATGTTGCTTCTACCCTCTGCCTTGGAATGCCCCCCCCCCAGTCCCAGGAGCTTCTTCCTTGCTGTGCAGGGCACAGTCAGAAGAGGAGGGGGTTCTGATGTCAGGCTGCCCCTCCCTCCACTCTGTACCCCATCTCCACAGGGTGCTGGAGGGAAGGGGGAGAAGGATGGAGAGAGTTTGCTAGCTGCTTTTGGAAGTGGTGCAGGACTAGGATAGGGTTGAGTCTACCATAGTCCCCTGCACCACCACCCAGAAGCCACCAGTGGTAAGCGGTGCCCAGCTGGAGCCTGCATTCCAAACCCCGGCCCCAATCCTGAACCTCTCCTACACCCCAAACCATTGCCCTAGCCCTGAGTCCCCCTGCACCCACACTCCCTCCCAGAGCCTGCATCCTGACCACCCCGCCTACACTCCAACTCCCTGCCCCAGGCTCAGAACCCCTCCCACACTCCAAATCCTTTAGCCAAAGATCATAGTCCGCATCCCCCTTCCCTGCACCCCAGCCCTCTGGCCCCAGCCTGATAAAAGTAAGTGAGAATGGGGGGAGGGAGAGAGGATGGAGCCAGCAGGGGCGGGGCCTAGAAGAAGGGGCAGGAAGGAGGCAGGGCAAGGATGTTTGGGTTTGAGGTAGATCCTGGATTGCATTAAAATTAAAAAAGTGATCTCATGCTTAAAAAGGCTAGACACCCCTGTGTTAGAGGTACATGCAGGATAAGGGAAAATAATTAAATTTCTAATGTCAATCCATGTGTTTCCATTAAATTAAGATATCCAGTAGAAATAATTTGGTTAAACACCTTAAACAATCCCCACCACAACAGCCTAAGAGCCAGAAAGACAGACTGACTTCTCTGCTTTCTTTGTCCAAATGATGAAAACCAATGAAGTTCAAATTTTTACTTAAATTATATTTTTCAATTGTTATAATAGGCATTAAAAGTAAAAGATAAGGAGACTAATATGAAATTTTTGAATATGACAATGTAATATGACATTTTACATCTGTAAGCCAAAATACCCTAAACATGCCCAGCCTTCCCGACAGAGCCATTTGCCTGAACAAGGTGGGAGGAGGATGCAGAAGCAAGGAAGTTTTTAAAATGTAACTATGCATGCTCATCTATATAAATGTTAATCCTTTTTTAAAAACCTGCTAGGTTGCACTATCTAAAGCCTTCTGAGGTGCTCTCATGACTAATGCTATGTGTGTGCACGTATGAAGTATCATTCACTTTGTGTGCCTTGCTTTGAAAGAAAGACATCTTTTTCTCTTGCTAATATTTTCTGTTTCTGTATCTGCGTACAACAGTTGAAAAAGGTGGCAGTATTAGACCTTTATATGGCTTCCTGAAATAAATTAAAATTCTATATTTCTATAGCATTTCATTTCAGAAGAATCTCTAAGTGCTTCATAAACCTATATGATACATTTAGCACCACTGATATGTAACCAAGCACTTCTTGAATATGCTGCACAATGGTGAAAGGAAAAGGAAAGCCTAGTCAAGGACACAAGGGAAGCCTCAAGCAAGTCATTGGACATTTTGGCTTTAAGCTCTCATCTGGAAAGGCACCAAGTTAAATGATACTCTAATTATCCGTATCTGAAGGATGCCGTGATGAGTTGATGCTACTGGGCTATTCAACAAAATGCAGGAGCAGAGCATGATGTATATTTCCCCTATGCCTAAAAAAATGTATAGTATAAAGAAGAGGCAGAAATATGTTACTATTGTGATTAACAGCATAGGCCTGGTAGCCTGTAGACACTGATTCTATTATAAACTCTGTCCCCAACTCATCACAAAGCCTTTAGAAAGATCACTATAACTTACTATACCTCAGTTTCCCAAATTGTACAATTGAGATAACAATAATTACCTATATCATGTTAATGTGATGAACCTAAAGTTTGGGAAATCTTTAGATCCTTGGCTGAAGGGTGTTATATACATGCACAATACTATTATAAAATCCTTTAAAAAAATATTTACCTTTTTTTTCTGGAAGAAACATGACAATCAGACAGGCCAATCCTCCCAGGAAAAGGAATGCTGCCAGCGTCCGTTTTCGGCCAAACCTGATGGGGCCCCCAAAAAGGATAATACTTAGCATCTCTACTACAATTTTCATCCAAAGATTTCAATGCACTGAGCAACCTAAATTCAACCAACACCATTCTCCTCACATGGCATACATTGCTAAAACAATCTGCCGAATCTCTGCTTTCTTGCTCATTACATTTTTACACAGAAACCTCAGGTCCTCTCATAGTATAGTTAGTGCATGCACATGTCAAGGATGAACTATGTAGTGCAGGCTGTACATCTCTAAGAAATCTCCAGTCAAACAGGCTGACTATGCCCATCTTAATTTGCATCCCACAGGTGGGGGAGTGAGCAGGGAAGAAGAGGACAGAGCAGGTGCAGGAGGAACCTGTTCCTCAGACACATATGGAAGAAGAAGAAAAGCCACCTATTAATAAAGTTCTGAGATGACCTCTATTGAAACAGAGAAAGAAAGGAGTATTGTAGCTCAAACACAGGCTAGATGACCCGATGTTCATAAGGGCTGCCAATCCTCCAAGATTTTCCTGGAGTCTCCAGGAATTAAAAATTGTTCTCCACTGTGTAGTAAGATCAAAAATGTGAAGAATGGAAGGACATCCTGTGTGTTAGTATAGAGTCAAAGCAGCTAGACTCTACAGAATTCTCCTCAGCAGCTGCAGTTTAATCTCTGCATCAGAGCTGGAGTATTGTTTACTGCTTGAGAGTTGTTAAGATTAATTTCAGTTTTTCATTAACATGTATTAATTTTTTTTTTATTTACACAAGTCATTCCCCCTTCCAGGAGGAAAGAGTAAGTTGGGACAGTTAATACTTCCTGTGATAGGACTAAACTGTAAGCAAGCTGAAGACAAATTGGTGTCCTGTAAAACTACCTTTGGAAAAAAATAATTAGATATTGGGCTTCATTCTATTCAATACTCACCATTTTTGGTTAATCAAGTAGATACAGATTGGGTAGGCAGGTATCTCTATCAGCCCAGAGAGAGCCAAGCTGGCATAAATACTTCCTCCTAAGTCACCTGCATTGAGAGTCAGACCATAGTATACCAAGCTGCACACAAACCTGTGGAAGCAGCAGGTTGGAGGAAAAGGAAGAGAGAAAGAAACCAAGTATAAGACTAAGATTTTTTCAATTCCAGATTGGTGCAACTAGATCATCTACTCCAGCAGTTCTCAAGCTTCATCGCACTGTGACCGCCTTCTGACAACTAAAATTATTGTATAACCCCAGGAAGGGGAACTGAAGATTGAGCCTGCCAGAACCACACCTGAAACCAAGGGCATATGCTCTGGGCGGGGGTCATATAACCTTAGCCCTGGGTGGTAAGGGTTGAGCTTGGTATTTGCTGAGGCCCAGGGCCAACACTGGTCTTGGCAACCCCGTTAAAAAAAAAGGGGTGGCAACCACTTTCAGGTTCCAACCCACAGTTTGAGAACCCCTCCTCTACTCCAATCTCCTTTCTCCAGCAGAGTCACTACTTATTTCAAAGGAAAGAAAAAGCTGTTCAAATACAGTCACCTAAGCACTACGTTAGGTAGAGTGAAATCATTCCTTTCTTGCAGGGATTCAGCCCCTGACATTTTACTTTAAGAATAAAGTGAGATTATACTTCTTGTGAATGCGGTGTATAAATCACAAATAAAATTACCCAGAACTTTAAATCTAACCCTGATCCCACAGGAGGAGCCACTGGCCGAAAAGTGCTGTCACGGCTCCCCAGGGAACATCCTTCCACACAGACTTTGGGTACGTCTAGACTACATGCCTCTGGTGACAGAGGCATGTAGATTAGGCTACTAGGCATAGGAAAATGAAGCGGCGATTTAAATAATCGCCGCTTCATTTAAATTTACATGGCTGCCGCGCTGAGCCGATCAGCTGTTTGTCGGCTCGCCGAAAAGTGCTGTCACGGCTCCCCAGGGAACATCCTTCCACACAGACTTTGGGTACGTCTAGACTACATGCCTCTGGTGACAGAGGCATGTAGATTAGGCTACTAGGCATAGGAAAATGAAGCGGCGATTTAAATAATCGCCGCTTCATTTAAATTTACATGGCTGCCGCGCTGAGCCGATCAGCTGTTTGTCGGCTCAGGTCAAATGTGGGAAAAGCCTCCCCTTTCAGAAGAGCCCTTATTCCTCACAAAATAAAGAAAACAGGGCCTTTGATGTCGACACCTGCGCGTCCAGACTACCGCGCTGAGCCGACAAACAGCTGATCGGCTCAGCGTGGCAGCCATGTAAATTTAAATGAAGCGGCGATTATTTAAATCGCCGCTTCATTTTCCTATGCCTGGTAGCCTAATCTACATGTCTCTGGCGACAGAGGCATGTAGTCTAGACGTACCCTTTGTCTCCTAGTGCTCAAATAGAAATGTTTTTCAAGAGAGGGACTACTGAAAGCATGCAGTATGAAACTTTGCTTTAATCTAATATGGTTTAAGTTAAGCTTTAGTAAACATCTTTGTTTTCCTTGTAACTATTTCTGACTTGTACACCTCATTACTTGTACTCACTGATGTCTCTTGGCAATTGATAAACTTGTTTTACTGTTTTAACTAATCCAATGTGTTTAAACTGAAGTGTCTGAATAACTATTTGAGATAAGAAGCTAGCATATTATTCCTTTTAAGAAATAACACATTTTAAATATTTGTACTATAGAGAAGATGGCTGGGCAGTACAGGACATACACTTCTGGGGGAAATTTGGGACTGGGGTTTATTGGGACCACTCTGCAGCATAACAAAGGCTGAGGAGAGCCAAATTGTAATCTAAGTGTGGCTGCAGGCTACAGTTAAAACACAGATACTTAGTGTGTGGCTTTCATGCTGGAGGGCTGTTGTGAGTAGTGTAGGTGGGAACTACTTCAGCAAGGCATTATAAGGCATAGGGTAGGAGTGACAGTGTAGTGTGGACTGTACCCTAGTATGTCCATGTGTTTCATTTCATTCCCCCCCCCCCCCCCCCCATCAATCTGTGACACTAATTGCTCCTTCAGGGTACAGCTACACTACATATTATTCCTTGGTCTGACATGCACTTGCAAACCCATTTTTCCAAGTTTACCTTTGAGCCTCTACTTGTTATGCATGCCTCATATCTGTGCTGGGTGCACCCACACTGTGGTATGCAGACATGAGTCAAAAGCTGTGTCTTCTGGGGGTGTATCCCAGGTTACTTGGCACTCTAGCTAGCTGTAGCCTCATTAGAGCTTGGTTCTGATGCAGTGTGGGACAACTTGTCTGTCCATCCCACAGCACTTTAATCAGAAGTATTCTTAGCCCACCAACACATTCATCTGAGCCATTTCCAGTCTGGACACTGCCTGTTATTGGGGGCCAGGCCCTGGATCCAGCACCGGCGTACAGCTTTGCCTGCTTGGGGTTTCACTGCTATTTCAGGATTCAGGCAGTGAAGCTACAAAATGGCAGTGGACATTTCAGCAACAGTTTCTGTCCTACTGAAGCCAGCGCTCTGACTGGGGCATAGCCACATCACACGCAACCCAGTTGATGCAGCTTCCACCTGCTGCCATTGCCGCAGAATCCCCATATGGAGGCAGCATTTCTGGAGCAGAATGACAACACTGCCTGGTGGGATCACAACATCTTGTAGCTCTGGCAATATCAGCAATGGCTCCAGAACATGTGCATGATGTACATGTTTGTAGATCTGTGCAAGTAGCTTGCACAGACATTCTTGCATCAGGATACACATGACAGAAGCCATAACAATCCAAAAGCAGGTCATTATACCCATATAGAAACTCACCACACAAGACTGCAATGGGCTCATGGCCAACCAGCTTAGTGTTGGTAAGGCAATTGTGGGTACTGTGGTTATGCAAATTTGTAAGTCAATCAGATATATTCACTGAAAGATGGCTGGCATAAACAGTGTTCCTGAAATAATTGCTAGCTTTGAGAAAATGGGTTTTCCAAACTGTGCTGGGGCTATCAATGGGGATCACATGCCCATAATTTGTCTTTCACAAGGAGCAAATGAGTACACCAACTGCAAATTTGCATCGTTATGCAGACTGACTACAGCAGCAGGCCCATGGATGCCAACATGGGATGTATTAACAAGGTACATGATGCCAAGGTTTTTCAGAAGTTATATTTCTGCCTTCACAGACAAGCAGGGACATTATTGCTTCCAAATGTCATTATTGTAAATAGAATCACTCTTCCACTGTTAATCTTGGAGAACTCACCTACTCCCACCTGCCATGGCTTATAAAACTGTACCTATTTCATAGGGCCTTATAAAAAAAAAGTTCAGTTACACACTCTGTAGCTGTAGGACAATGGTGTAATGTTCATTTGGCTAGTTGAAGTCAAAATGGGGCTGCCTTCTGAACCCTCCAGATGTCAGTGTTATCCTCACTGTGGCCAGCTGTGCACTGCACAGTGTTTGCAAGGCAAAAGAAGAATCATTTTGCCAGAAGTGAATATTAAATGCTACCAGAAAGTGCATCTATCATTACTGAGGCGGAGTCTCCCCAAGCAAGGGAAATAATTTATTCTTAGGAATCTATTGTAACAGACTGTTCACGTTTAAACACACACTCGTTGATAATGTTTCAAACAGTTCTACCTGAAAGTCTAAAGCACCAGTCACCAGTCTGTTTGGACACCACCATCATAATAAATCAGCTTTTGTTCTTTTCTGCTTACAAAACAAATTGGCCTTATAAACTATATTTGCTAGTAGTTCTTCAGATGGCATTGTATTATTACATATGGACAGTTTAAAAAAACCTGTTTTAATACTTTTTCATTTTTCTTCATGTTTATTACAAAATATCTGCATTAATTAATTATTCCTCACATTAAGTTAGACTAAGCTACCTTTCTAGCCAAAAAAACCCCAATCAATAAAGAACTACTCTAACAAAAGTCAGCCTAAAAAACATTACTAAAATCTAAGAAGTCAATACCAAAATCCTACTCCAATCAGAATTACTACCCTGAAACAGGAATAATGCCAAAGACTCCATGAAGCCCACTCTAATGGTGATGGGCAACAGTACACACCTCTCAGACAGACAGACAGACACACAACAACTGGTTGCTGTCATAGCAATTTCACAAAAGGAAGACTGCTTATTTAAAAAACAGAAAGTTTTTGCTAGTGGTTTGTACAGGAGACTGAGAATTGGAGACCCGGATTTTATTCCTGAAAGTGCAATTACGTCAATCTTATCCAATTTATGACCCAGAGCCTGCAAAGATTCATACATATGTTTAACCTTAAGGTTTTTAATCTTTGCAGGACTAGAGATTTGGTGAAAAGCTTTAAGAGACTTTTAAGAAAAATGCTAGATATTTATTTTTTGAAGCAGCTCTCTAAACAGGTTAGTATCTTGAATACTAAAATAATATTGGCTTACTAGCTAAAGAGACCAATTTGGGCACTGAAATAGAATCAGATTAAAACTCTCACAACCTTGGGCCAAAGAATTAGGACATAACTAAATCTCAGAAAGTACACAGTTCTAAAATACTTTTGAGATTCTTAAAAGCATCAAAAAAGTGCCCAGACTAAGTACCTTAGGCCTAGGTTATTAATATGACATCAGATGAAAAACAAACACGCAGAGTGAAGAAATTCATACAAAGATCCTGTTATATACATAACTCCCCCAGTGATAAAGAGACAGAAAGCATGACAAGCATTCTCTCAGCAACATGTTTTCTAAAATACTTTTGAGATTCTTAAAAGCATCAAAAAAGTGCCCAGACTAAGTACCTTAGGCCTAGGTTATTAATATGACATCAGATGAAAAACAAACACGCAGAGTGAAGAAATTCATACAAAGATCCTGTTATATACATAACTCCCCCAGTGATAAAGAGACAGAAAGCATGACAAGCATTCTCTCAGCAACATGTTTCTCAAATACTTTAAAAAGCAGCAGTAGCAGTTTCAAGAGCAGACCCTAAAACGGATTGTAAGTACCAGATGAACATCATGATCAAAGTGCGCCCCAAAAGGATCTTGTATCGGAACAGGTCCAAGAAACTGCCCGTCTCTCTGCGGTTCCTGTCAGCTGGGAGCTTTAGTGAAAAAGTGCATTTCTGTTTGCAGTTCCTCTTTGCAATGAGGGAGAGGGCGTCTTCCGCTTCTCTCAGACGACCTTGTGAGTATAGCCAGCGGGGTGATTCAGGAATGAATCTGAAACAGAGATTTCATTGAAGCTTTAGGGCCCTACTCTTATAGATGATTGAATTCGCCTGGTTGGAATAGAGCTGAAGGACATTTCAATGTAACATGTTTTTTCAAACAGCATTTTACTTCAGCTTTAGAATTCAACCCACAGGTTTAGAATTCATCTGTAATTGCAGGTAAATTACACTTTAATAAGAAGTGGGTAGGTACTTAGAAAAATGTGAAATAAAGGTGGTCTTATTCTTCCCAAGCAAAATGCAGGACAATGTAGCACTTTAAAGACTAACAAGATGGTTTATTAGATGATGAGCTTTCGTGGGCCAGACCAAGTGGGTCTGGCCCACGAAAGCTCATCATCTAATAAACCATCTTGTTAGTCTTTAAAGTGCTACATTGTCCTGCATTTTGCTTGGGAAGAATAAGACCACCTTTATTTCACATTTTTCTAAGTACCTAACATGCAGCAACTTTGCTCTCTATATTAAAATTACACTAAATAATAGTTGTCTGCATTACAGAAATACAAAATTAAAGATGTGTGAATTAAAAGGGTTACAGTACACAGGCAGTTGCTAGTTATAAAACCCTGAAACTAATTTAGCTTCTCACATCTTCTCCCTAATTCTATCCAAAATTATATCTTGCAGACAGAGTAGCCACTGAGAAACAATTATCTCTGCCTATTGGCAGAATCTGATTCATACAGCTGAGATGCCTGCCTACAAATATCCTTCTGTGCCTCTTGTTTTCCTGAAGCTTTCACCTTTTCAGGTTGTGGTCTGTATCCAAAGTTGATTTTTTAAACACATATTTAATGTGAGCAAAAGCGATCCAGCCACCTTTGTACAAAAAGGTAGGAAAGGAGCATTTTCTCCTATCTAAGCCAAAGCATCCTTGTAAGCTTTCTGAACAGCTCTAGGGTCAGACAGCTGGAAGGTTTAAATTTGGTATAAAAATTGCACTTATCGTAGAGAGGTAATTTTGAGCAGAGCTTTGAAGTCGAGAGTAAAGCTTTAAAAATTGTTTACTTCATAAAGACAACCTGAAAGGTAAGTTACTTTTTCATTTAACTATATTTTTTTATCCTAGAAATATCAAGAATATCAAGCAAGACTCTTTATTAAGCATATGTCTATACAGCAGGGCTAAAGTCGGACTAAGCTACGCAACTTCAGCTACGTCAATTGCGTAGCTTAAGTCAAAATACCTTAACTCGACTTTTGGTGTGGTCTACACAGCAGGAAGTCGATGGAAGAACACTCTCTTCGACTTCCTCATTTCACGAGGAGTAAGGGGTTACAGGACTCAGAGTAAGAAATCCTCCAGCTCGACATTATTTTAAAATAAAGGTTTGTAGTATAGACATGCACTATGTTGTTTCAGAATAACGTCAGTTATTTCTAAATAACACTGCTGGGTAGACTTACCCTAAGGGAAGAGCAATGTTCCCACTGGGATTTGTATTATTACACCTGAACTGAAGAGGTGAATATAAATCTTTAATAAAGGTTTCTTTTAATAAAAATGTAACGGAAGTCAAACAGCAATGAAAAGGCCTACTCTTTCAAATGCTAAATATTCACTTGTGATGTCTTGGCTGGAAGACTATGACAAATATCCACAAGATTCAAATCACGAAAGGCAAGCAGCAAAAACAGTGCTTTTGATTAAAAAACCGTTTTAAGCATACTATAACCATTATGTAGTAGAATGGGATGGGAAACCTCAGGCCTAGGGGCCAGATGCAGCCCCTAGCTTGCCTGGATCCAGCTCCTTCAGCTGTATGAATCAGATTCTGCCAATAGGCAGAGATAATTGTTTCTCAGTGGCTACTCTGTCTGCAAGATATAATTTTGGATAGAATTAGGGAGAAGATGTGAGAAGCTAAATTAGTTTCAGGGTTTTATAACTAGCAACTGCCTGTGTACTGTAACCCTTTTAATTCACACATCTTTAATTTTGTATTTCTGTAATGCAGACAACTATTATTTAGTGTAATTTTAATATAGAGAGCAAAGTTGCTGCATGTTAGGTACTTAGAAAAATGTGAAATAAAGGTGGTCTTATTCTTCCCAAGCAAAATGCAGGACAATGTAGCACTTTAAAGACTAACAAGATGGTTTATTAGATGATGAGCTTTCGTGGGCCAGACCAAGTGGGTCTGGCCCACGAAAGCTCATCATCTAATAAACCATCTTGTTAGTCTTTAAAGTGCTACATTGTCCTGCATTTTGCTTGGGAAGAATAAGACCACCTTTATTTCACATTTTTCTAAGTACCTAACATGCAGCAACTTTGCTCTCTATATTAAAATTACACTAAATAATAGTTGTCTGCATTACAGAAATACAAAATTAAAGATGTGTGAATTAAAAGGGTTACAGTACACAGGCAGTTGCTAGTTATAAAACCCTGAAACTAATTTAGCTTCTCACATCTTCTCCCTAATTCTATCCAAAATTATATCTTGCAGACAGAGTAGCCACTGAGAAACAATTATCTCTGCCTATTGGCAGAATCTGATTCATACAGCTGAGATGCCTGCCTACAAATATCCTTCTGTGCCTCTTGTTTTCCTGAAGCTTTCACCTTTTCAGGTTGTGGTCTGTATCCAAAGTTGATTTTTTAAACACATATTTAATGTGAGCAAAAGCGATCCAGCCACCTTTGTACAAAAAGGTAGGAAAGGAGCATTTTCTCCTATCTAAGCCAAAGCATCCTTGTAAGCTTTCTGAACAGCTCTAGGGTCAGACAGCTGGAAGGTTTAAATTTGGTATAAAAATTGCACTTATCGTAGAGAGGTAATTTTGAGCAGAGCTTTGAAGTCGAGAGTAAAGCTTTAAAAATTGTTTACTTCATAAAGACAACCTGAAAGGTAAGTTACTTTTTCATTTAACTATATTTTTTTATCCTAGAAATATCAAGAATATCAAGCAAGACTCTTTATTAAGCATATGTCTATACAGCAGGGCTAAAGTCGGACTAAGCTACGCAACTTCAGCTACGTCAATTGCGTAGCTTAAGTCAAAATACCTTAACTCGACTTTTGGTGTGGTCTACACAGCAGGAAGTCGATGGAAGAACACTCTCTTCGACTTCCTCATTTCACGAGGAGTAAGGGGTTACAGGACTCAGAGTAAGAAATCCTCCAGCTCGACATTATTTTAAAATAAAGGTTTGTAGTATAGACATGCACTATGTTGTTTCAGAATAACGTCAGTTATTTCTAAATAACACTGCTGGGTAGACTTACCCTAAGGGAAGAGCAATGTTCCCACTGGGATTTGTATTATTACACCTGAACTGAAGAGGTGAATATAAATCTTTAATAAAGGTTTCTTTTAATAAAAATGTAACGGAAGTCAAACAGCAATGAAAAGGCCTACTCTTTCAAATGCTAAATATTCACTTGTGATGTCTTGGCTGGAAGACTATGACAAATATCCACAAGATTCAAATCACGAAAGGCAAGCAGCAAAAACAGTGCTTTTGATTAAAAAACCGTTTTAAGCATACTATAACCATTATGTAGTAGAATGGGATGGGAAACCTCAGGCCTAGGGGCCAGATGCAGCCCCTAGCTTGCCTGGATCCAGCTCCTTCCAGCATTGGGAAGCCCGTGCTGGCACTCTAGCCCGTCTGCCGCCCAACTGGCTTCTCACTTGTGTGTGGCCCTTAATTTTTTTGTGGGTCAGCATCCCCTATCCAAAAAAGGTTCCTCACCCCATGTAGAAGAAGATGACACACAACTAAATTTTTCCCTAACTTTATGTTTGTATGCAACCTCAATACTGTTCCTTATGTGTGTCCATTATGATACTGTCCTTGAAACTGAGAAATTAGCATGTGATCATGTAGTTACATATATGCAGCATCTTGCAGTAAATATGTAAATCCAAGACCGTCAGGTATATGACAAGTGTAGATAAAGCTGTTCTTAAACATCATTCTAGAGAGTAAAAACAAAATTCATACTCATAAAAATTTGGCATGTATTGGCCATTTAAGTTTGCAGATGTGTCAGCACTGCAGTGGGAGGGAGACATGGGCTTACTATGTGGTGTGAGACAGCAATACCACTATCTTTCCCCTACCACTCCATCTGATCCCTGGAAAACTCTTTGGCCTACTTTCTCAATTTCTATTCTTTTGATGAAGGCCAATGAAACAATTTTAAAAACAGTAACTTACAGAGAGAGGAGAAAGACTACTGTTCCCTCCAGATTAACCACAACTGCCAGAGTCCTCCAAGAACGAATGAAATATCCTAACATAGCATACTGGGCAATTCCCACTGCAAAGAACAGGCCACCGATAGATCCTAACACGTTGGGAAAAAAGAAATGTTACAAACTATTTCACAATATTGTTCATCCCCATTTATGTGTAATCAGAGAGACTAGCACTTCTCTAGGAAGGCAGGAAGCATGAACAAAAAAAGCTACTTGACTCAAAACTAGGAAAAACAGATCCCTAATAGAGAAGAACTATTAAAAAGATTAAACACATACCAAAACAGGACAAAAGAAAACTGCTACATAAATAATTATTTGGCTTTCCTATAGCACTTGTCACCCATCAATTTGAAAACATTATAAAGAATTAGTTCTTATAACCCCGCACCTGGCTTGTTGCAACCTCCCACTCCCAAAAATAAATACTACTAATTATTGTAAAGATGACATTTCCAATAACATAAAACATTAGTTATAACCTTCTTGGCTCATGAAATATTAAGTTTTAAAACTATCACTGATCCTTTAGCCAAGCTCTTTCCCGGCATTAGTCAAAGAATAAATGTGTCAAGTTCCAGACCTTGGAGCAGTGTAATTTACAGGCACAGTACTGCATGACAGCTTGCATGCTAGCAACAACTATAGTTAAAGTGTCCAAATGTTTCCATTATATTTTCTTTGCAGTGTTATTGTAGCCACATTGGTCCCTGGATCTGAGAGAGATAAGATGGCTAGGTGAAGTAGTATCTTTTATAGGACCAACTTCTTTTGTTGCCTTTTCTGGACCTGAAGATTTCTGTGAATCTCAAAAATGTGTCTCATCCACCAAGAGATGTTGATCAAATAAAAGATATTACCTCATCCACTTTGGTTTTCTTCTATATTAAGGTCTCAGGCTGATTTTTACCACAGGTTTAAGCAAAAGTGGTCCAGCCACTTTAGAATATAAGGGAATAAAAAAAGAAACCCACCACTTTTCACATTTTATAAAAATATATATTGTGGATTTATTTGCTACGCCAAAACAGCATAAGGGAGGAAGAAATTGAAATTTGGCAGGCAAATATCTCCCCTTGAGAAGGGTCTTCCTGGGTCCAGAGTTTTTAGTCAAAGAATGCTGTATCTTGCATCCACATGTGACTTGCTCAGCTGCAGAGTGTACAGAGTGCCTCAGTCAATGTGCATTTGTTAGCGTCCAGTCTCAGTAGTGCAGGAATCTGAAGTGGTTCAAAGTCACTTACTGTGTTCATCTAAGGTGTACATTAAACGTGGCAAGGCTTGCAGACTGTATGGTCAGGCATAAAGGAACAGAGTTTGAAACATTAAATTTGGTATTTCTAGACACAGGTGCTCAAACTGAGCTCTCTAGAGCTGAACAGTTTTCTCTAAAGATGTTGCAACTAAAGCTGTACCTGCCAATGCCCAATAGGCAGTTCCCACACATTCATTCAGTAGAACAAAGGCCACCAGCGACATTCCTCCATTCATCACTCCCACCAAGAAGCGAGAGATTGCAAAGAACTCGTATGATGGGGAGAATCCATTTGCAATGGCAAACAAGATGTCAAGGGCAAAACCTGGAAGACAAAATTTAAGATTTAATGAATGAGAAAAACAGCATTTAGCACGAGCATTACTTGACACTCGGCAATACCTGTTCTAATCAAATCATATTCAAGAACTATAAGAGTCTGTTGCTTATGGGGCAGAATCTTAAAGGAGAATGTCTCAGAAAAGTGGTCTTCTTCACAGGATTTACTGCATTAATATCCCACTTCTGTTCACAGAAGGCAGCATTTCTCTTCAGAAAAGCCACCATCACAATTGACAATAACCAGGATATCTTGTTAGCAGTTTCAGCAGAGAAGCCCAAGACTGAACAGGCCCTGAACAGAATTTTCTCCTCACCCCTAGAAGTTTTCCTTCCAGGTCATATCTCTTTTTTGTCAGAAGAGTACGGTGGAGGAAGTTTGCACTGCTGTAATCTTCCCTGTATCTGTTCTGTGACAGAAGGTTTCAAAGTTCAGGGTCAGACACCTTTCAGCAGCACTGGGTCAATAAAAGACTTAAAAGTGTCATTAAAAAAAAGTGTTAAACTTTAATATGCCCTGTATATGATATCCCCTGAACAAACTGAAATCCATGGGTTTTAAAACTCTGCTAAGTTTACAAATATTCAGCAACACATGCATGTTTTAGGAAGTGATGGCAAACTCATCTAGAACTTTCAGGAGTCTTGACAATTAAATGAAAGGATAAATAAATAAATAATTTTTGATGCTCAAATTTTAAGTTTCATTTGAGGAGCATTCATGAACATTATGGCAAACAACATGGGTCCACCTTTTAAGTTTAAGCATACGTGTTGGGTTTCCAGCTTCATAACAGGTTCCTTAAACTTCACGCATTTAAATGTTGACCTGAGTACACAAATATGGATTATTTGCCCCAATTTGGGTTCCTTGTATGCAGTGGAAAATGCAAAATTAATCTCAATGCCTTGACTTTCCACAGAACTTTAATAACTTGGATAACTCTGTCTTCTATGATAGACAATGATGCACTAACGAGACAATGAAATGCCTCTCTAGTCATTTTGTTAGGGCTGCAGTGAATTACCTGTGAGATAGACTTTTTTCCTCCCAAAGCGATCTGAGAGCTGGCCAAAAGCGATCACTCCAACAAACACACCACTGAAGAAAAACGAACTAGCAGCACTGACTTTGTATGATGTGTTCCCAATTAAAAACCACTAGGAAGAAAAAACAGCTTTAGGCATGGGGAAGAAGAATCTTTTTAAAACAAAACTTCAGCTCAAGCTCCACTTCAATCACTAAAATGCTACCTTCCACCCAAACCCACCAATTTCCCATTATGCAATTCCCCATCACCTCTAAAACAAAGCCATTCAATCTGAAGTGGTTCAAAGTCACTTACTGTGTTCATCTAAGGTGTACGTTAAATGTGGCAAGGCTTGCAGACTGTATGGTCAGGCATAAAGGAACAGAGTTTGAAACATTAAATTTGGTATTTCTAGACACAGGTGCTCAAACTGAGCTCTCTAGAGCTGAACAGTTTTCTCTAAAGATGTTGCAACTAAAGCTGTACCTGCCAATGCCCAATAGGCAGTTCCCTGAGAACAAGGTTAAACTCCTCAAAGGAACATTATTTTTTTATTGGCTTTGTTGTTTTTTACTTATGTATTAGGGATGTCAACGTGTAGTCCACTGCACGATTAATGGCTAACCCTTTGCTTATTGGTTAATCTTATTGACTGTACGCACTCGTGACCCCCGCTGCCGCTGTATCAGAGGCAGCAAAGGGAGGAGGGGAGCAAGAGTCAGTGCCAGTGAGGAGCTGACTTTAAGCAGGCTCTCCATAAGCACTGGATCCACCTGGCCCCCTCCCCGTGTTGCTGCCTCTGATAGAGAGGCAGCAGCATGGGGTGGAGGGGACCACAGGCTGGAACCAATATGCATGGGGACCTGCCTGCCCTCCTCCTTTCTATCTTCTACAGACGCAGTGAGGGGGAGCAGGCAGGAGCCGGTGCTGGGAACAGCTGGCTTAAATGCCGGTTCCCTCCAGCACCAGCTCTGCAGTGCTGCCTCCTTCCCCACTGCGCTGCTGTCTCTATTTGCCAGCAGCAGCCCTTGTCTGCAGGGAATCCAAGCTCGCTGCGAACAGAAGCTGCTCTGCTTCCTATCCGCCTCTGCTGCTCCTCCTGCCTGCCTCCCCTCACTGCCTCTGTAGGATATTCTGCCATGAGAGGTGGAGCATCCTCTGCCCATGGGGAGCTCAGACCCCTCTGTCCCCCGCAGTCAGGGGCTGCTGCCATGGACTAGCCTCTGTCTGCGACCTGCCTGGGCCTCCACATATAGAGGCTGCTTTGTGAGTTCCTCTTCCCCCTCCCTGGGACATCCTTTGTCTGCGGGGAGCTCAGACCCCTGTGGACAGGGGCTGCTGTCACTGGATCAGTGGCACCAGTGCAGCACAGCAGGCAGTCGGTTTTTAAACTGGCTCCCCTTGCGAATCAGCTCCTGCCTGCCACCTGAGGCAGCTGCCTCTGACACAGAGGCAGCAGCACAGGTGGCAGAGGCTCCCTGGGAGCTCACTGGCTGCTGGCCCCATCCCTGGGGACTATCCAATAATCATGTAGCTGATAAGATTTCATGGGGTTACACAACTATTCAGTTACATGATAAGGATATTGCAATATAGTGTAACTGGATTTTCATCTATATATCTCTGTGTACATTTGTATCTAGGTAATATACAGAGTTAAGAGGCACAATTTAGGTCTAAAGATGATCCTAGCTCTCCTCATCATTACCAACCTTGTCAGTAACACCCATTTGATTAGCTTCTATGTTTGTAAGCACTGGCATTTCCCGCCCTCCTCCCCACGCTATATCCATAAGACTTGCTTTGTCTTACTGTATATATCATTTTGAATTACCCCTAATGGGTGAGATGTGCATGCTGTTTTAGTTAGTAACATGGCCATAGGGAATCCAGATACTTGAGAAAATTAGCTTCTCAAGTTAAAGTAAGTCCCTGGGTTATGTCAATCAGACGTAAGTCGGACCGACCGCCCTCCTCCCCACGCTATATCCATAAGACTTGCTTTGTCTTACTGTATATATCATTTTGAATTACCCCTAATGGGTGAGATGTGCATGCTGTTTTAGTTAGTAACATGGCCATAGGGAATCCAGATACTTGAGAAAATTAGCTTCTCAAGTTAAAGTAAGTCCCTGGGTTATGTCAATCAGACGTAAGTCGGACCGATAGTTACGAACGGGGGGGGGGAAGGGCCCAGCTAGTGCGGGGTGCCTCCCCCACTGTCGCCGCCTCCGGCGGCGCGGGGGGCGCGTCCCCCCAGCAGACCAGGGGGACACCGA